TTGGCTGTCAGTGGTTGGGAGAAAGGGGGAACTGAATTTGTTGGTTTGGTTTGAGTGGGGCCTGTTCTGGGTCTGGTTCAGGGAAACCAAACCACCTTTTTTAGTTTTGTGCCCACCCCTAGTAACCAGTCTGTTTGTGCTCCTTATCTTTTCAAGAAGGCTCTTGGATCTGCAAACCTGCCCTCATTTCCTGGTTGGAAGATATGGATGAGATGTTTGTCCAAGACTCTGAGGAAGCAAAGAACTCAAAAGGTACTTCCTTAGACCTTTGTGTCGAGGTTTGCATGGTGCTAGCCCACTGCAAGATGTGGGTGAGTATGAGTATCACAGAAGACGTAAGTCCAACTGGTTTAGTGTAAAACTATATACATTTATTTACACAAGCCTTCACCAGTATATTACACACAGTGACAAAATGCTTTGCAGACACCAGGTTTTCCATCAGGAAGTAAAGTATACTGTACATCATTACATTTATACAAGCATTGTCCAATCAGATCGCAATGCTGAGTCATAGTGATGCTGTTAATTAGTGCTGCTCTGAACTGCACAAAACCTGTTGGAGCCAGCTAGACTGTCAACTCTGAGCTGTCAGCTCCTGTCAAGTAGATTGACCTCATCTACAGCCAGACTTACAGAAACACATGTATACTGACAGTTTGGAGCAAGCCTTCTGTGTTGGTCAATTGTTGTACTAATTTGATATCACCCAGAATATGCTCATCATTCTGTTTCTGGGGTTTCCTGGAAGCTGTCTCTGTGGGGTTTCCTGGAAGCCGTCTCTCCCCCTCATGCCTTGATTTAAGGCCTGTTTTCTTCAATGCTGGTTGCCATTAAGGGCCACTCTTTTTAAATCATGACTGACCGACTTTCTTCTTTCTTAGATTCTCTTTCTTGCTGGAATAAGGAGTCTCCATTTATTTCTGCCAAAGAAGACACAGCTGTGAGAGAGAGAAATGTGAAGAGTTTTTCACAGGAAGGCTTTGCTTCAGAAGACACCTCCGAGTCTTTCCTGGGGCTAGTTCCAGAGATAATTGTCATCCTGACAGATCTGCCTGAGAGTAAGTTTTATTTATGGCCTTGTCAGGAAAATAGACCTGGTGTAACTTGTGAGGATTTCTCTACTGTGAGAGAGACATTATGCTGAAAAACCCACAGTGTAGTCTGTGGAGAAACGACATTGCCGATACCCAAAGGAAACCCTGTTGGAAAGCAAAGCAAGGCAGTGTGGTGTAGTGATTCCAGTGCTGAAATGAGATGGAAGCGACCCAGATTCTGGTCCCATTATGGACATAAAACTGCCTGGGTCATTCCCCTCCATCTCTAACCTACCACTCATGAGAATGATGCACATTGTCCTGAGCTCCTTGGAGGAATGGCGGAATGAAAATGTTTTAATAACAAAGTATTATAGATGTTGTTCTGCAATGCCCTTAAAAAATCTCAGTGTGTTCTTTTTCATTTGAAAAATACCCCACGATTCCTCACCTTCACCTACATGTTGACTAGAGCAGTGGTCTTCAACAATTCCCCCCCTACGTTGTGGAGTCTCGTGAGCAAAAGTTCTACTTTCTGAGCTACTGGCATTAAAGGTGTGAGCGAGCGATTTGGCTACTGCCTCAATTAGTTTGCTCTGGAGCCATCCTTCCTGAGCGAAGACAAAAACGTGTGAGCCGGAGGCTAAAAAGCTGTGAGCTAGCTCACACTAACTCAGCTTAGAGGGAACACTGGTCTTCAGTTGTGTTGTAAATCGCCCAGAGCCTGCTCTGCAGGGTGGGCGACTCATAAGTTTAATGTAATAAATAAATAAGCCTTTCTTTAGCCCAGGTTCCACCTTTAGCTCTTGGGGGCACAATACGGCCTGTTGAGTTGCTAGCACACACACACACAAAAGTACTCCTGTGACCAAAAGAAGAGCCCGAGTTCTGACCTTGCTGGGCAGGGGGTCAGACTCTGCACTGCAAGTGCTCACAGATCATTGGAGGACTGGCTGGTGTTCTGAGGAGTGGCCAGGTGCAGGGGAGAGAGAAGGATAGCTTTTGCCAAGGGTGGGTGGGTTCTGACCTCACCTGAGCGAATGAAGGCATCTTCCCCTTGCTGAGTGACTTCACTCTCCTGCTGCTCTTTACTGCAAAGAGTGGCAGGAGGCATGGTGTCGCTGAACTCTAAACATTCCACACTAGCAGTGTGTCCATGACCTACTTGATGTTTGTGGTCCATGGCTCACCACAATAGAGCGAGACAAAAATCTTCCGCACATAAGGGTGGATAGGCGCTCCATTTCTACTGACTGGATTTGTAGATCCTCAGTAGAAGGCTACTGAGGCATCCCTCATCTGCCATCATCTGTATGGGCAAAGTGGCAGGATTGGGAAGCCCTCTGAGTGGGACAGGAAGGAAGATAAGAGCCAATGAAGGACAGGTCTGATAGAATGGAAGCCTTGAATATTTTCTTACAAGGAAATAATTTCTGTCTCACAAAAGGTGTGAAGTCCAAATGTAGGTAGGTGTCGTTTTTCTCCTCATTTGCAGTATGTAAAGAAATAAAGCAGTGTGTTTTGTTATATGGCTACTTTTATTCTTTGAACTGAAATAGACTACTTTCTTCCCAGCTCTGTTCCCCTTTACAATTTTCCCAATAATAGGGAGTAATTAGAGACTTCTCTTCAGGCCTATCAAAAACTGTGCACAAATGACAGTTTTGGCTATGAGATGGATATTCTGTGGGGTGCTTACTGGGTTTTTCTTTCTATTCCAGCAGGAGATAAGAAGAAACAAAGTGCTGCTGACCATCTGAGAAGACACAGGGATTTGCAGGAGGAAAAACAATCTTGGAATAGAAGAAGACGAAAGAGAAGTAAGAAGGCAGGAAACCAGAAGCAGATGAAAAAATCAGTTTCCTTTCACAGGAGGGATTGCCCTGAAAACCTTGTCATAGAAAGTTTACAAAAGGGAAGAAAAAGGAGTAAAAGACGTCAGAGTGGGAAACGGTCCGGCAACAAGTTGAATCCTGAGAGAGATCAGAGAATTCTCACAGGGGAGAAATCATATGAATGTTTGGAGTGTGGAAGGAGCTTCAGTCGGAAGGACAATTTAGTTTCACACCAGAGGATTCATACTGGAGAGAAACCATATAAATGCTTGGAGTGTGGAAAGAGTCTTAGCTGTAGCAAAAGACTTACTATTCACCAGAGGATTCACACAGGGGAGAAACCATATAAATGCTTGGAGTGCGGAAGGAGTTTTGGTTGCTTCAGATACCTAAAGGTTCACCAAAGGACTCACACAGGGGAGAAACCGTATACATGCTTGGAATGTGGGAAGAACTTTAGTCAGAGCACAGGCCTTACTTATCACCAGAGGGTGCACACAGGGGAGAAACCATATGAATGCCTGGAGTGTGGAAAGAGCTTCAGTCGGATCCACCACCTGAATGGTCATCGAAGGAGACACACGGGGGAGAAATTGTATACATGCTTATTATGTGGAAAGGGCTTGACTAGCAGAAGAAACCTTTCTTTTCACCAAAGAAGTCACACAGGGGAGAAACCATATAAGAGTATGAGAAAACCTTTAGTCTGAGAGGAAGCCTCAATTATCACCAAAAGGTGCGCACAAGAGAAACTACATAAATGTTCCACGTGTTGAAAGTTCTTTATGCATAGCTCATGCCTTACTGTTCACTACAGGCTCCACACAAACGAGAAACGATGTAAATGAAGACTTTCTCAGTCATGTAGTATTCATTGCTTTCATCAGCTCTATCTGTTGTTGGACTGCTGCCCAGGCTCTGCCCCAGAGAACTTGGACAGGGCATTGGGGGCTTTGACTGGGTGGTTACAGCAGAGTCAATTGAAATTAAATCCCACAAAGACAGAGGTCCTGTACCTGAGCTGGAGGGGGGTTGGATCAGGAATCACGCTCCCTGCCTTGGACAGCGCACCACTTGTGCCGGTCCTAATAGTTAGGAGCTTAGGGGTGATCCTAGATGCCTCACTTTCTATGTGGTCATTGCCAGGTCTGCCTTTTATCATCTCTCGCAGATCAGGCAATCGGTTCCTTATCTCTCCCCCCAGGACTTGGCTGTAGTGACCCACTAACTGGTCACTTTCAGGCTTGATTACTGTAACTTGCTTTATGCAGGCTTGCCCTTGAAGTTGATTTGAAAACTCGCAACTAGTGCAAAATTCAGCGGCGCACCTGCTGACTGCGTTGCCTGTGCAAGCATGCATAGAGCTGGTGCTACGCCAATTGCACTGGCTACCGATTGAGAACTGGATCCTCTTCAAGCCCTGTGCGGCCAGCAACCGACATATCTGAGGGGCCACCTTTCCCCATAGGTGCCGCGGAGAGCTTTGTGCTTGGCAGAACAAAGCTTGGCAGAGCTTTGTGCTTGGTTGTCCCTCCCTGGCCCAAAGGACCTCCATTTAGCCTTGACCAGGGCCAGGGCCATTCTCCCCCTGGCCCCAGCCTGGTGGAACATGCTCCCACTGAGATCAGGGGCCCGTGATACCGGAACTCCTCTAAGGATGGTTCCGAAAGCCCAACTCTGTCTTATGTATGGCAGTGGGCGTGCGTGAGTAATTTACCCGTGTATACAGAGGGCAGATTTGGCAACGAACGCTCCTATTTCCCAGGAAGTGAGACAACACGCTAGGCTTAATGAATAAATGTTGTCTTTACTAGGTAGTTCTCAAGCACATGAAAAACAGATACATTCGCAGATTCACACAAGTTTCCTTTAGTTACAATAGTAAATAGAAAGCAATCAGTATGAAAAACAATAACTTCTACAGACAATGGGATAACACAGAGGGATATCGCTTATACTTATCTGAGATCCAAGTTGAGAAGAAATCTCAGTAGAAGGAATGGGGAAACTCAAGTATCAACTGGTGGGATTCTAAAACACACGGAATGGTCCTGCCAGACACGTGCGAGTTCTGTGGTCGCGACTCCAGAGAACGCTATAAGAATCACCTGCAGTGTACTTAAGTTGCAAGGTGAAAGGTATCAAAAGGGATGGGTCAAGCTGCTCTTCCAGTTCTTCCTTTGAGAAACAAAGGCTGTGTTACTCTTTTTAAAACCTAGTTTTAGGGGTTGGCTTAAGGCCAATCTATACCTGGAATCCGTCCTCTTCTCTAAGCCTATAGGTTTGACGGGCTGTGACGTTCTACCTAGAGGGAAGGGGGCAATATTGAAATTCTAACCTAACTTCAAAGAGGAGCCATGTGGCAAGGTGTCAAGGTTGTATTCCCATGGCAACCTTTGACTTGCAGAGATGCCTGGTCCATGAAGGCAATAAAGGATGTTATTCTTTGTGATGCACAAACCAGATAGTGGGATTACATGTTGTCCTGGAGGTCCACAATAGTGGGAAATCTGTTGTTCTTTCAGGTTTCCAAGCTGAGCTTAATGGCGAAGGTCTTCTTTGTCCTGAGGCACACTGGGAAGGTGGGGGCATGCACGTGTTCTGTAGCACAGGCAGCTCAAGCCTTGCTCATCCAAAGCATGAGATGCAAAGCAAGCCATTCACAAACACAGCAATCCCCTTATCCCACATGCAGAAATGCAAAGACATTTTACAGACACATAGCATCAACACAGCACAAATAATACACAGGAAAGCACACATGGTAACACCCGCAGGACCTATTACATTCCCACGGGGCCTGTAAATGGACCTGTCCCGCCAGGCTGTTGAGTGAGGCGGCAGGCGTTCATTCATTCCATCTACTCGGCCTACCTTGCTGAAGCTCTCCATCTGACACGGTGCATCTGAGAAGACTTCATAGTCTGGTTTACAGCCTAGCTGCTCCAGTTTTTCGAGAACGGTGTATCTATAATTTACAGCACCATCTGCTCTCAATTTATAGTTTCTTATTTTTAACTGTTTTAACTATTTGCTATACCTGTTTTAATGGTTAATGTGGAATTGCTGCTGTGATCCGCCCTGAACCCGCTTCCGGAGAGGGCGAAATATAACTTGAATTTTTTTTTTTAAGTCCCTTGTATTAGTCAGTGCAGCGTAGAGGTTGGAGTGTTGGACAAGGATCAAGGAGACTTGTGTTCAAATCCTTAATCTGGCATGGAATCATGCTGGAGGGTTGTTAGGATAAAATGGGGGAAGAAGAGAACAGTTTTAAGCCGCTTTGGGTCCCCACTGGGTAGAAAAGCAGGGTATAAATGAAACAAATGTTCGTAAGCAAGGCTTGTTCAGTAAATCAGGCATGATTTTAGTCTTGAGTAATCCTGCTACTGTGCCAGAACTTTGAGTTAAGCAAATACGTGTGTCTGAATACCTGCTCTGTGTGTCAAAATGTAAGGAATGTTTCTTGGTTCTTTTCATAATTTTTTAACTCATAGTTCCTTGTTTCAACTAGACACAGTCTTATGTTCTTATGTTCTTTGCCGTTTGGAAATCCTGTGGTAACAGGAGTTAGAATATTCGTGGAAGGCTGGAGAGCCGAGGGGTGGACTGGCCACTAAACGTCCTGGGGGAAATTCTGTTGGACTGCCATCCTGAGGGGTTGTGTTTTTTTTGTTTATATGTGAATTTTTATACAATTACCTTTCACCCTGTACTTCCTGCATGTTATCACCCCCTTGACCCCATTTTTTCCCCTTCCCCAAATGCCTACCTAGTGAAAATCTGCTTGGTGCATTGAATGAAGTGGGCCTTAATCCACAATTAGTCTTTTAGGTGCCATTAGACTCCTGGTTGTTTTTGCTACAGTAGACTTAACACAACTACCCCTCTAAGGTTAAAGCAAGGTTGTAAGGACCAGGATCAGGTCACAGTGCCCTGATCGAGGTTTATAAGATTATGCATGGGACAGAGCAGGTAGAGAAAGAAGTACATTTCTCCCTTTCTCCCAATACAAGAACTCGCGGGCACTCAATGAAATTGCTGAGCAGTCGGGTTAGAACGGATAAAAGGAAATAGTTCTTCACCCAAAGAGTGATTAACACATGGAATACACTGCCACAGGAGGTGGTGACGGGCTACAAGCATGGACGGCTTCAAGAAGGAATTGGATAAACATGGAGCAGAGGTCCATCAGTGGCTATTAGCCACAAGGTATATATAGGGGCTCTGGGGCAAGTGATGCTCTGTTTTCTTGGTGCTTGGGGGGGGGCAGCAGTGGGAGAGTTTCTGGTGTCCTGGCCCCACTGGTGGACCTCCTGTGTGACAGAGTGTTGGACTGGATGGACCATTGGCCTGATCCAACATTGGCTTCTCTTATGTTCTTAGTTCTGTACCCTTAAATGTGGTGGGCACTACCCTGCCGTAACCAGCGTGAAGCAATTCCCAGTTTCTTATTGCTAGTTCTTTATTTGTGAATCCACCCACAAATATTACTGACATTTAAATTAGCCCCCGCCCCTTTTGATTTTGATTAGCCGAAATCATACATCCCAAGACTCTGGTAACTGTGGTCTGGAAGGTGGCATACACTCGTGCCCACTCTAAAGCCCAGTTCTGGCACCAAGACCGACAAAGGTAGGTGCTCCTAGAAATCTCCTCACATGACTTTGAAGCTTTTGATTCCAGAACCAGGCTTTTGGCTGGGGAAGGGTTCATGACTGATACCAGAGCCTAGGGGGGCAAGACTGGGCCACCCTAAAAGCTGCTTCTGGGTTGCAGCTGCTCTAAGTTCTTAATCTTCCTTTTGGTGCCAGAACCAGGGTTTGGTCTCAAGAAAAGTCTGCATTCCCTTGTTAGGGGCCTAGTCCCCAGAGGATGCGGGTGTACCACTGGAAGTGGTCCAGAGGAATGACCACTTTTTCTATAGGGTGGTCAGATCTAATATCAAGGTGTGTGTATGTGTTCTGGACCTAATCTAGGTCAGGAAGTTCTGGTTCTCTTTATTCTGGGGACTTCAACACCCATAATCAGCTTGAAGCTGAAGCCCCATTTTGAGCCTCTAAGCTTCATTTTTGATGAGTTATGCCTATGGCACGTGGACAGACATAGGCATCCTTTTATTACTATCAAGATTTACTTCAGTGCTAGTCCACCTGTCTCAAAAAGACTCAAGGTGGGTACTGACCCTCTTGCCTGGAACTTCCACTGCCAGATGCCTGTGTGATGCCACGTCTTGACTCCCTCCTCAAAACTTACCATTTCTGTGAAGACCTTCCTTGGGCTTAACGCCCCTCCACATCCCTATGCTTGAACTAAATGCAAACGTGAAACTGGAATGGATGCTTATTCTGCCCTTGTTTTATCCCCACGTCTGCCTCCCTCGGCCTCTCTTGTGGCAAATTTTGTGTTGTGATCTCCTCAGGGTAGAGACCTGCCTTTCTGTCCTCTACCAAGTGCCATGCATATGGGCAGCGCTCAATAAATGAAACATAGAAAAGATGAGCTTTTGTTATGAAGAAGAAAAGGGGCTGTTTGGGAGATGGAGGCAAAGAGGCAGCTGGTGGCAGTATCTATGCCCAGTCAGAAGTGAAGAACCCCTCCAGGAGGTGGCTGAGCCCCTTTGGGACTTCAGCTGAGTGTCTCGACCTCTCAGAAGGTCCACAACAGATTCCCATTTACTAATCAGTGGGGCCATTGTGTGACATGTAGATTTATATTCAGGCCTGAATTCTAGCCCTGTGAACTTTTTAAAATCCCGCTGGAATCTGGTACGTGAGATTGCTTGAGTAAGGCTGGTGGTGACCAGGAACATGGAGACCAAAGAAGGAGAACGTGGTATGGTCATTTACAGTAAATATGTCTCTGTTGAGCCAGAAATGGCTTAACACAGGTAAAAAGGTGGGTGAGGGATTAAACATACCTATACCAGATGAGACTGAAAAATCTTTGGAAGAAGACAGCACAGTTGGCTGTATGTAAGTTTCTCAGGTCCTGTCCACATCAGGGCCATTTACCTTGTCTCAGCCCTGGCTGCCATTTCCCACATGGCAGCAGAGGGCTTTAAAAAACTGGGAACCACTAGATCAGTGATAGCGAACCTTTTAGAGACTGAGTGCCC